TGGGGGGTAGGTGTTCGTGGGGGTTAGGTGTTCGTGGGGGGTAGGTGCTCGTGGGGGGTAGGTGCTCGGGGGGGGGTAGGTGCTCGTGGGGGCTAGGTGCTCGTGGCGGGTAGGTGCTCGTGGGGGGTAGGTGCACGTGGGGGGTAGGTGCTCGTGGGGGGTAGGTGCTCGTGGGGGGTAGGTGCTCGTGGGGGGGGGGGGGGGGGGTAGGTGCTCGTGGGGGCTAGGTGCTCGTGGGGGGTAGGTACTGATGGGGGTTAGGTGCTCGTGGGGGGTAGGTGCTCGTGGGGGGTAGGTGCTCGTGGGGGCTAGGTGCTCGTGGGGGGTAGGTGCTCGTGGGGGGTAGGTGCTCGTGGGGGGTAGGTGCTCGTGGGGGGTAGGTGCTCGTGGGGGTTAGGTACTGATGGGGGTTAGGTGCTCTTGGGGGCTAGGTTCTCGTGGGGGGTAGCTGCTCGTGGGGGGTAGGTGCTCGTGGGGGCTAGGTACTGATGGGGGTTAGGTGCTCGTGGGGGGTAGGTGCTCTTGGGGGGTAGGTACTGAAGGGGGTTAGGTGCTCGTGGGGGATACGTGCTCGTGGGGGTTAGGTGCTCGTGGGGGGTAGGTGTTCGTGGGGGGGGGGGGGTAGGTGCTCATGGGGGGTAGGTGCTCGTGGGGGGTAGGTGCTCGTGGGGGGTAGGTGCTCGTGGGGGGTAGGTGCTCGTGGGGGGTAGGTGCTCGTGGGGGGTAGGTGCTCGTGGGGGGTAGGTGCTCGTGGGGGGTAGGTGCTCGTGGGGGGTAGGTGCTCGTGGGGGGTAGGTGCTCGTGGGAGGTAGGTGCTCATGGGGGGTAGGTGCTCGTGGGGGGTAGGTGCTCGTGGGGGGTAGGTGCTCATGAGGGGGTAGGTGCTCGTGGGGGTTAGGTGCTCTCGGGGTTAGGTGCTCGTGGGGGTTAGGTGCTCGTGGGGGGTAGGTGCTCGTGGGGGTAGGTGCTCGTGGGGGCTAGGTGCTCGTGGGGGCTAGGTGCTCGTGGGGGGCAGGTGCTCGTGGGGGGTAGGTGCTCGTGGGGGGTAGGTGCTCGTGGGGGGTAGGTGCTCGTGGGGGGTAGGTACTGATGGGGGGAGGGGGGGGGGGGGTAGGTGCTCGTGGGGGCTAGGTGCTCGTGGGGGGTAGGTGCTCGTGGGGGGGGGGGGGGTAGGTGCTCTTGGGGGGTAGGTACTGAAGGGGGTTAGGTGCTCGTGGGGGATAGGTGCTCGTGGGGGGGGGGGGGGGGGTAGGTGCTCATGGGGGGTAGGTGCTCGTGGGGGGTAGGTACTGATGGGGGTTAGGTGCTCGTGGGGGCTAGGTGCTCGTGGGGGGTAGGTGCTCGTGGGGGGTAGGTGCTCGTGGGGGATAGGTGCTCGTGGGGGGTAGGTGCTCGTGGGGGATAGGTGCTCGTCGGGGTAGGTACTCGTGGGGGGTAGGTGCTCGTTGGGGTTAGGTGCTCTTGGGGGTTAGGTGCTCGTGGGGGGGGGGGGGGGGGGGATAGGTGCTTGTGGGGGGTAGGTGCTCGTGGGGGGTAGGTGTTCGTGGGGGTTAGGTGTTCGTGGGGGGTAGGTGCTCGTGGGGGGTAGGTGCTCGTGGGGGGTAGGTGCTCGTGGGGGGTAGGTGCTCGTGGGGGGTAGGTGCTCGTGGGGGGTAGGTGCTCGTGGGAGGTAGGTGCTCGTGGGGGGTAGGTGCTCGTGGGGGGTAGGTGCTCGTGGGGGGTAGGTGCTCATGAGGGGGTAGGTGCTCGTGGGGGTTAGGTGCTCTCGGGGGTTAGGTGCTCGTGCGGGTTAGGTGCTCGTGGGGGGTAGGTGCTCGTGGGGGGTAGGTGCTCGTGGGGGCTAGGTGCTCGTGGGGGCTAGGTGCTCGTGGGGGGCAGGTGCTCGTGGGGGGTAGGTGCTCGTGGGGGGTAGGTGCTCGTGGGGGGTAGGTGCTCGTGGGGGGTAGGTGCTCGTGGGGGGTAGGTACTGATGGGGGGAGGGGGGGGGGGGCGGTAGGTGCTCGTGGGGGCTAGGTGCTCGTGGGGGGTAGGTGCTCGTGGGGGGGGGGGGGGGCTAGGTGCTCTTGGGGGGTAGGTACTGAAGGGGGTTAGGTGCTCGTGGGGGATAGGTGCTCGTGGGGGGGGGGGGGTAGGTGCTCATGGGGGGTAGGTGCTCGTGGGGGGTAGGTACTGATGGGGGTTAGGTGCTCGTGGGGGCTAGGTGCTCGTGGGGGGTAGGTGCTCGTGGGGGGTAGGTGCTCGTGGGGGATAGGTGCTCGTGGGGGGTAGGTGCTCGTGGGGGATAGGTGCTCGTCGGGGTAGGTACTCGTGGGGGGTAGGTGCTCGTTGGGGTTAGGTGCTCTTGGGGGTTAGGTGCTCGTGGGGGGGGGGGGGGATAGGTGCTTGTGGGGGGTAGGTGCTCGTGGGGGGTAGGTGTTCGTGGGGGTTAGGTGTTCGTGGGGGGTAGGTGCTCGTGGGGGGTAGGTGCTCGTGGGGGGTAGGTGCTCGGGGGGGGGGGGGGGGGGGTAGGTGCTCGTGGGGGCTAGGTGCTCGTGGCGGGTAGGTGCTCGTGGGGGGTAGGTGCACGTGGGGGGTAGGTGCTCGTGGGGGGTAGGTGCTCGTGGGGGGTAGGTGCTCGTGGGGGCTAGGTGCTCGTGGGGGGTAGGTACTGATGGGGGTTAGGTGCTCGTGGGGGGTAGGTGCTCGTGGGGGGTAGGTGCTCGTGGGGGCTAGGTGCTCGTGGGTGGTAGGTGCTCGTGGGGGGTAGGTGCTCGTGGGGGGTAGGTGCTCGTGGGGGGTAGGTGCTCGTGGGGGTTAGGTACTGATGGGGGTTAGGTGCTCTTGGGGGCTAGGTTCTCGTGGGGGGTAGGTGCTCGTGGGGGGTAGGTGCTCGTGGGGGCTAGGTACTGATGGGGGTTAGGTGCTCGTGGGGGGTAGGTGCTCTTGGGGGGTAGGTACTGAAGGGGGTTAGGTGCTCGTGGGGGATACGTGCTCGTGGGGGTTAGGTGCTCGTGGGGGGTAGGTGTTCGTGGGGGGGGGGGGGTAGGTGCTCATGGGGGGTAGGTGCTCGTGGGGGGTAGGTGCTCGTGGGGGGTAGGTGCTCGTGGGGGGTAGGTGCTCGTGGGGGGTAGGTGCTCGTGGGGGGTAGGTGCTCGTGGGGGGTAGGTGCTCGTGGGAGGTAGGTGCTCATGGGGGGTAGGTGCTCGTGGGGGGTAGGTGCTCGTGGGGGGTAGGTGCTCATGAGGGGGTAGGTGCTCGTGGGGGTTAGGTGCTCTCGGGGTTAGGTGCTCGTGGGGGTTAGGTGCTCGTGGGGGGTAGGTGCTCGTGGGGGCTAGGTGCTCGTGGGGGCTAGGTGCTCGTGGGGGGTAGGTGCTCGTGGGGGGTAGGTGCTCGTGGGGGGTAGGTGCTCGTGGGGGGTAGGTACTGATGGGGGGGGGGGGGTAGGTGCTCGTGGGGGCTAGGTGCTCGTGGGGGGTAGGTGCTCGTGGGGGGGGGGGGGGGGGGGGTAGGTGCTCTTGGGGGGTAGGTACTGAAGGGGGTTAGGTGCTCGTGGGGGATAGGTGCTCGTGGGGGGGGGGGGTAGGTGCTCATGGGGGGTAGGTGCTCGTGGGGGGTAGGTGCTCGTGGGGGGTAGGTGCTCGTGGGGGGTAGGCGCTCGTGGGGGGTAGGTGCTCGTGGGGGGTAGGTGCTCGTGGGGGGTAGGTGCTCGTGGGGGGTAGGTGCTCGAGGGGGGTAGGTGCTCGTGGGGGGTAGGTGCTCGTGGGGGGTAGGTGCTCATGGGGGGGGGGGGGGGTAGGTGCTCGTGGGGGTTAGGTGCTCTTGGGGGTTAGGTGCTCTTGGGGGTTAGGTGCTCGTGGGGGGTAGGTGCTCGTGGGGGGGGGGGGGGGGGGGGTAGGTGCTCATGGGTGGTAGGTGCTCGTGGGGGGTAGGTGCTCGTGGGGGGTAGGTGCTCGTGGGGGGTAGGTGCTCATGGGGGGGGGGGGTAAGTGCTCGTGGGGGTTAGGTGCTCTCGGAGGTTAGGTGCTCTTGGGGGTTAGGTGCTCGTGGGGGTTAGGTGCTCGTGGGGGGTAGGTGCTCGTGGGGGCTAGGTGCTCGTGGGGGCTAGGTGCTCGTGGGGGGTAGGTGCTCGTGGGGGGTAGGTGCTCGTGGGGGGTAGGTACTGATGGGGGGGGGGGGGTAGGTGCTCGTGGGGGCTAGGTGCTCGTGGGGGCTAGGTACTGATGGGGGTTAGGTGCTCTTGGGGGTTAGGTACCCCCAAGAGTTAGGTACTCATAGGAGTTAGGTATCCCTGGAGGTCAGGTACTCTTGGGGGTTAGATGCTCTGGCCAATACTTGAACTATGCTTGACATGAGTCGCTGCCACTGAAAATCTTTGAGAACCAAAGTGTAAGTACACCTTGAAACCTACAGCTATGAATGCTTGTTACATTGCAACTTTGCTGGCCATAGTATCACACACTTGGCCACCATGGCCCAGGGACAGCTGACATGAAAGATGATGTGTCAACAAGCGGACAATAACATTAGTGGGCAGACCCATCCGCGACTGGCAACTGCACACACTGTTTTCTTGTGCACACGACGATCACTCTCCCAGTTCGTTACTGCATGTGCATCCTTCAACTTTAAAATACCGCATTTCCCCGATTATTCGTCACACACGATTCTAAGTCGCATCCCCATTTTCAGGTCTGAGCCAAATTGTTTCCATACATTGACATAAGTAAGAAGTCACGCTCAATAGTAACTTGTAAGTTGCACCCCGCCTTTGCTCTTGAAGTTCAGTGTGAAAAGGTGTGACTTATATTCGGGGGAAATACGGTCTAGAGGCGTGGAAAATATATATCTGTCAACGGAAGTGTCCCTGCTGTGCTGGTGCCTTTATGCTTCGTGGTTAGGCTGAGAGCGCGTGGTTGCGACGAGTTGGGAATGCAGTAAACGGGAATAGGGCCGAAAGCTCTGTGGGAATATTAAATTGTGAAATACGGTGCTCTATCAAGACAAGTACAGGGTCTACAGACCTTAGCAAGGTTCAGCTGAAGCTGCTCCGTCGGTGACTCATTGCCAGCTGCTTGTGTCAGTGTCTCTGCAACAGACAGTGTCCTTTCCAGATCTCCAGCCGCCGCCGACGAAAGACACGCCTCCAGCATTTCACGCAGCTCCGCCGAGTTAGGAATGACGCCATCGCGAAGAAGAGATGAAATGTTTCCAAGCTGTTGGAGATTACAAGCACAAATATGTACACGAGTCGCACACGCATGGCACAGACATGTGCATGCATATAGTTGAGGCATGCATATTATTATACTTATGCGTTGGCAAGTACGCACATCTACGACCACATACACATACACATACACATCATGTACCATACAAACATACACACACACACCTCAGACCTCAGACATGCCCATCGCGGAAGCGATGATAGCGAACAGCTATGTTAGACATAGCAACTTGTGCTGGGATTACACCATTCAACAGCTTGCAAGGCTGATGAATTGACCGCCACTATTTTCTAGCCTGGTATCCACCACACAGCTGATTGAAGTGGCTTTTTCTGGCCAGTGATTCCCTAATTTTCATTTTTTCTTATTTTTTTACACACGCACACCACATACTCCGGCATACACTGGCTGTTGGTAACCACCCAGGAGAATGAAAGAAGAGCTAGGAGAATGAGAAAGAGGAGAAAGACGTGTGTGACCATAATCGTCGGGAATCGAACCCGCAACCTATCGATTGGAAATCGCTGCACATACCACTGCACCATATGGGACACACACACACACATCCACATACACACACACACACACACACACACACACACACACACACACACACACACACACGTGTACACACACGTGTACACACAGTGTACACGCACACACATGTACACGTACATGGATATGTGACAGCATATTAGTTATTGCCCAGGTCAACCTTCTTCACAAAACAGGCATCTTTTTTTATGTACATGTACTGAGCTATCATCCGGGTTGAAAAACATGTCAATACAGGCGGGAAAAAGACTCTTCCGGGCACAGCTACTGACTACTATAGTGCTACAAACGAACACAACTCACCGCTTCGGATGTCATTAGTTCAGGCTTAGAGTAAAAGCGTTTCATGGCTTTGTCCATCACCAGCGGCATAGGAGATGATGAACGATGCTGCTCAGCCTTTGTCGCTGTGTCATCTAATCCAGCAGCAGCAGCAGCACTGCCACCACCGCCACCGCCAACACCACAGCGTGCCAGCACTGATACCAGATGAGAGAGCCAAGTCACATCAATGACCTCGACTTGCGGCAAAACGTTCTGCGTGCACGATTTTCAACAGAGCAACAATTTTTTTTAAATGTCCATGCACATCGAAGTACACGTAGGGTTAGAGAAAAAAACTGAAGGCTCCCAATAAGCAACATTTTCGACAAATCTTCAAGTACTTTCAATGCCTTCTCATCAGCAGGTAAAACACAGGCAAAATGGAACTGAACGAGAACATTCATACAGCGAGAGAGAGAGAGAGAGAGAGAGAGAGAGAGAGAGAGAGAGAGAGAGAGAGAGAGAGAGAGAGAGAGAGAGAGAGAGAGAAGAGAGAGAGAGGAGAGAGAGAGAGAGAGAGAGAGAGAGAGAGAGAGAGAACAGAGAGGAGACACACACATACAGCCACACGCACGTACACACACACATACGCACATGCGAGCGCACCTACACACACACATACGCACATGCGAGCGCACGTGCGCATACACACGCATACACACACACACATACACATGCACACATACACATGCACACACACACACACACACACACACACACACACACACAAACACAAACGTACACACAAGCACGCACACCCATACGGACATCTAGAAACAGCAGTGTTCTACATACCAGAGAGACATGACTCAAGAATTCTGGCGCTTGCACCGACACCATGGCGAGAGAAATCAGCTGCTTGGTGGGCAGTTGATGCAACACTGGCAGGACTTGCTTGCGAATGCTAGCCATTGCTGAATCTCTCTTCGCGATCAGAACTGGTGCCTCAACACCCGCCAAGCAATCATCCAATGCCCTCAGCATCATTCCAATCTAAGGAGAAATATGACATGAGGCGTGGGGTCAGGGCATAGCTAAAGACAACGCAACACACCTTAAAACATTTTGCTATGAACATCAATAATTTGTGTTCTTTGTAATTCCAACACTACCTGTGGATCATTTCTCACTGTTTTCAGTCATCAGCATTACGTACATATAGCTTATTCCAATGCATTTTTCAGTGAATCAACACGAGATACCTTACCACACCGCTCAAGCCGACAGCATTCTGATCAGCATATTGTAGGAACAACAGGGGAACAGAGCTGCTGCTGACCACGTCCAACTCGATCGCAATGCGGCATGCTTCACAGCACAGTAAGGCCGCCTGGTGCGAGGTGAGCTCTTCCTCCAGGGTCAGTGCGAGTACGTCTAGATACGCTGCCTTCGGAGATGCTCTAGCTTGCACCAACAGAGCAACCAGGGGGTCCTGTTTGCCACTGAGGTACTTCTCCAGGTCGCTGGCCCTAGTTGATGACAGAACAAGAAATGGGATCATTGTAGCTTAGAATGATGAGCAATCAACTTGCCCACTAGTCCTCACAAGTCACGTACAACAAGAACTTTTCTTTCAATGTTTCTGCTCTTCGTGACCGTCATGAAGAATTGTCTTGATGAGCACGACGTCACCGTGAATACTTCCGCTAGAACAAAGCCGTCGGACAACTATTTGTCTTGACGATCAGCCGATGCCAAAGCATGCACTGTCCATGCATGTGCGAGAAGCACGTCACATAGGCTGTAGACATGTGACACTGCATACTCGTAACTCTGATGAACAACTCCAGGACGAAAGCCGAGACAGCTACAATTGTTACACATATCATTTTTCAGTTGGCTTTCTGGGCTCTGTAGATGTTATAAGCACCACAGTGTGTGTGTGTGCATGAAAAAACAGGATGAACAAGCAGGGTCGGCAGTTGAACTTTTAGGCAAGCTGCCCACAAGGAAGAACTTATCCAGTGCGGACTAGCTAGACATATTATACCAGTAAGCAACAAACACAAACTTCGAGTAGGCCAATAACACTGTTATACTGGAGTGCCAAAGTCACAGAGTGGTACATGTACCTTCAATGACAAGACGGAACAAGAGTACCGCAATGTCTTATCGTGCAGAGTCACCGGTAGCAAAAGGGTGGAATGGTGCAAACTCGTCCACTGGGGGCCATAACACAGACGGCCAATTAATGCCATTATAAATACAGATATATACACTGACTCAAACTCACATGTCCTTCCACGCCGTTGACACAGCTGCGACATTGCTGCTGGATGCAGCAACAGTAGCTGCAGGCCTCTGCAATATTGCCGAGGTAGCTGCAGATGCTAAAGATGTCGGCGCCTGTTGTAGCTGCACCTGTTGATTGTGTTGCTGAGCTGGGATATGGGTATTGGACATCGCCGGATGAGCTTGAACCATGGGCACAGTGCCATGCCGATGATGAATTGGCTGTGCTGTTTGTTGTGCATAGCTACGGACATGAGATTGCTGTTGCTGGCCATATCCAGGCGCCCCGTTGTATCGGGGTGGGTGAACAGAGTTGGCAACGCTGCCTGCATGGCGGTCCCTCAAGACTGTCTGCCAGTGCTGCTGCTGTTCAGCATTCTGTCGTTGTGAGTTCAACTGCTGTTGCCATTGCCTGTAACCAGTGACAGGATCCAACCCAGCAGGAGCAGCACCCTGGTGAACCAGCCTACTTGCAGGCTGACCTAGACAACTGCAACTGCACCTCGAGGCAACTCTGCCAGCTACAGACACCACCATATACTGCGCGTGGCAAGACATCAGCAGAACTTTTACGTTTGATGTCAGGCCATCAACAATTTACATCGGCTCTGTTTAGAACTCTTCGATCCAAACAGATGGCCGTCAAAGAAAGAGCACGAATATACAAAGGGCATCAGTGCAAGCGTTGTCTGAGAAAGAAAATGTTCTCTAAAGATGTATATCGGAATGCTCTTTCGCAACCCAATTTTTCGTAATTTTCGTAAATGAATCAGATACTGTACTCAGCTCATACATGTACAATGTTTGCAAATGCAATGTGAAAATTTGAATTGTTTGCCAGATTTTTATTGCATTCAATTATTTTTGTGAAAAATTCCTCCAGATCAGAACGCCATATTTGCCATAGCAATCAGAGAGAGCTAGTTTTTTTCTTCAGACTTTTTTCTTTTTCAATTCGACTCCGCCTGGCCGGCCCTAGCCTGCCTAGCCTAGCCCGGCCTGGGCCTGGCCCTCAGCCTGACATGATCAGTCTACCATGCATGGTCTACTGCAAGAGTCTTTTGCAGTTTTGGTCTGAGTGATCATGCATGCTCAGATCATAATAAAATAATTATTATAATTCATTATTATAATTATTTAAATGCTCACAAGTCTAATGATTCTGATTAGAGACTGAGTATTCATCTTTTATCTGTCTTGACTTCTGATCTGTGCCTCTTGAAGACTTGATGTTGGCAAGTCTTCACTCTTGTCCGCCTGTAAAAGCGGCTTCTTCAGACAGTCAGTAGATCCACTGCTGCCTGGATTTAGCTGCTATCCAGCCGCTACATCTACATCATGATGGGAATCGAAGCATGCCACAATCCCCGATGTGCAATATTGCCTACATGCATCATTGGGGTTTACAACTTGTATGATGAAGCAAGGCTTACATAGCAACAGTACTGAGTACTACCGACAGAAGCCCATTTTCTACCATCTGCATGTCGGCAGAGCGATACATGTATGTACACGTCGGCACACACGGACAAACTGCATAGTCACAAGCGACTCAAAGCTCAAGCTTCATAACATAAACCCTTTGGCAGAATGCAACAAGATGATCTGCTTAACTAAGCTAGCATACTTGAAGTTCAAATATGAAAATGCCAAGCACAACAAAAATGAACAGAGAATTGTGGCACAGCTGCAGACACAAAACAAACAAATCCCAGGAAAGGCTGCAGCGCGAGAAGGGTTGTGTATTACAACAGTCCAGTGAAAGCTGGTAGATATTCCAATAATAAGAGGGATGTCCGAAGATACAGCCGACACCGGTGACTAAAAAGCGCATAAACACAGTGAACCGTGTGATTGCGGAGACAAAGAAAAGGCAAAAGAAGATTTTATGAGAGACGAGACACGGGACACAGTACACTCTTTAACTACAATCAACGGAACTAGTAAAGCAGAGAAGGCGTGACAGATACTGATGCACGCAGGAAGCAGAAGCAATAGGACAGCATGGATGCACAAGGTAGGTACAAACGTCAACGCAGCAGTCTAGAGATGAGTGAATTGTAACGTTATGCACGCTGCTTCATATACGCATCCAGTTCATCATCCAGGTCGTCCACACTTTTACCGGCGTTTCGCTTCTGCCCAGAGTGGTCCTGCTGGTGCTGTGCCGGCTGTTGATGCTGCTGCTGCTGCTGCTGGGGTCGGGGATGCTTGACAAATTGACTATAATTTACTGCACCAGTAGCAGCAGCACCCCCATCTCTCGGAATTGGTCTGTTGCCAGGCCGGGCTGTGGCCATTGCTGCTCCACCGCCACCAACAGTCCTGTTGATTCCGAGACGGCTGTGCACATTGCCCCGGGAGCGTGAAGCCGCAATGCGCTTGGTCGCCTCAAGTCGATCACTTCGTGAACTGTTGTGCGACTCGCTGTGCGGATTGCCATTACTTGCCCGCTGTTGGCGAGGCGCAACTGGACTCCTGTCTCGGTCTCGCGAGCGTTGACGTCGAGAATCACCTTCAATCTTGTCCAGAACGTCGGTGCGATGAGCGAGTTGATCCAAGTACTGGCGATTCTTAGCACTTCCACTGGACAAAGAATCTCGCGGCGGAGGGCTGGGTGATGCAGAGCGCGTGCGCTTTAATGCAGTGAATCTGAAGATGTGGGAAAAATCACGAATAGCAAAGCCATAACGATTGTCGCAGGCTATTATGAGTTCCCAATCACCCAACTGTACAAACTACTACACAACCATAGATGGCAGAGAGCTGCCACTTAATTACAGGTAGCACAGAGAGATGCATAACATTTTTTTAACCTACGGTGGCTGAGTAGCATTTAAAAACGAGCCTATCACGGACAGACTTTACAGATGACATCGGCATGAGAAGCGCAAGGCATTTTCTGTGTAAAATTCAAGGAGCTGCACAATCCAAAAATGCAGCAGCTTGTGACGGGCAGCGGATCGTGCGGCTGAAAGTGCATGCTTTGGAGTACATTTAAGTGATGATTAAACGGCACATGCATGTAACAGCACACACACACACACACACACACACACGCACACACACACACGCACACACACACACGCACACACACACACAGTAACTGTCCCAGTACATGACATACATGTACATTATGGTGACAGGTCAACCTTGTAAATAACGACTCACAGTCGTGCATGAGAATGGTGCCGTTATTCGCGTGTTGCCATTATTCATGAGGTTGAAAGTATACAGTCAAATGATCACTAGGTTTGAAGACTGTGTCGTTACATGTACAGTCAGACCTCGCTTAACCGCACACATCCGTTTTCCACAAAAATATCCAGATAGGTGAGGGAACCAGACAACTGAACACACATACTGTATGCATGTGGCACATCAAAAGAGGTGGCATCGTACATACATGTAGACGGGCCCTATGTAGTACAACTAGCGCGCACCGTATGTAAAGCAAGCCAGGAAAATGACAAGTGCATGCAACTGAGTGCTATCCGCATGCATCCAGCCAGTCAAGGACCTCATTTGCTTGTATAACTCCCTGATTCTAGCTTCTGCAAGCCACGTGCAAACGGATACGACGAAGCATTTTGCACACATTTCAACCAGTTCGTACACACAATCATGCACCGGTATGCGGATCGCGAGGTCCAGTTATGTTGTATGCGTAACATCTGCTGCACATTGGTATCCAGCGATTTTCTTCCGGATGGCGAGGGATCCGGATAAAAGAGGGCCGGATAAGCGAGGTCTGACTGTATTCGCGAGTTGTTGTTAACAGTTATACCCGGGGTCGTTATTAAAGAGGTTGGCTGTATACCTGAAAACTAAACTGATGGGGACAGGACAGGCTTCTTACCTTTCATCAAGAGATATACTGGTGCAGGAATGGGCTATCATTGTATGGATGGATGAAGCAGGAGGGGCTGCCATCCTAGGAGGTTGAGGTGGTGACTGCCGTCGTGAATGATGGCTCAGGCCAGGACTGGGGCTACGTCTATGACCGTATGAAAACGTGCTATGGCCACTGGTATGTGAGCGAGACGAGTAGCCATCTCGATAATCACGGTCTCGCGGCTCTCTGCTGCGATATCTATCAGCCATGGGCGCTGGCTCCCTGAACTGTGGCAATCGAAAAAGACATTCAGCACAGTTGGTTAGGTTTTCATAACTACAATTGCATTTTTTTAGATAGTCACGAGTTGTTTGATTCGTGCCATTTTTCTTTACGCGAGTCAGCGCCCGAATAATACTCAGAGAAAGGGCGGTAATAGAACAAACTTGCATGTTGAAATTAGGGGTACATCATGGAAATCTTTACAGGATCTTATCAAGCACATGCAGGTAACAGCACCCAATTGAACATGGTGGAACACAATGAAAATAAAAAAGGCAAAATATTTAAACGTACTGGTGAGGCAGAAAGCTATCCGGGCAAGTTACTAAAGGAACAGAGGTCAAGAAAGCAGATCAAAGGATCCACATAACTCGTAACAGATGTCCGGAGATTGAGTGACTCGTAACAAAAGGCTTCTGCAACAATTTGGGAAACAGTCAGCTTGAAAATCCAACAGTCGACACTCGAACTCGTCAGGGGACTTTTCTGAGTCGATCGAAATTCGCGAAAAGAGAGCGCTCAGCTCAGCTGAGAATATTTTTTCACTTCCTAGATCCTCCATATGCAAAGACCATGCACTCATATTATGATCATCCTCGTGCCTCGTAAAGATTTGCATACAGTTTTTTTTGTTGACCCTAGTATTAAATGACGTCACAAGATTGTGCACACTACTGCATGCGCAGCTAGTTGCGCACAGGCACTTCTGCCTTTTTGTAGTAGTCCATCGGCCAAATCTCAGAAAGGGCCTCTTTCGGCGAAGGTGATGCACTGAAGCTCCAACTAAACGCCCTTTGGCACACTAGCTCATGAGACCCCATGGAATACGAATCCGATTGTTGGACGTTGCCAATCCAGTCCAGGATAGTCGAACTGGGTCGAATACCTTCTTCCGATTTTCGTAATTTCGTCCACCATTACATCTTTCTCATCGACTTTTTTTCGCTTGGCGAATGTTCTTGAGCCGCTGAGCAAAACCAACGCACGCTCGAACACTTGAAATGCCTGCATGTTGACGGTTCGCAAGATTCTAGCGAGCTTGGTGGAAATCTATTATTTATTTTGACATTTTTGGCCAATTGGGGGAATCTGAATTAGAACGGTAGAAGCTCATTCGGAGAAGACGGCGTGTCGCCGCTGTCGGATTGTCGCTACTGTGTTTCAGACGTATTTGCTTGAACGTGCTATTGAGGATGGACAGAAGATGAAGTGACGGCTTTCTTGAACACGGACGTTGTGTCTACATTGTAGCTGAAACATCTCATCTGGCGTCTAGAACGCAATTATTATGAGTTGTGAGTGCCAGCTGAGCTGAACACAAGCTGGACACCATTCGTCAGCTGGGAATTTGCATCGAAGCTCTTGATAGCCACGATAAGCATAATTATACAGAGGTAACCTTGTTTGACTCAATACGCATGCAGGTGATACCACTAGTGGCACTACAATGTAAATGGTGCAAAATTGATGCAACAGCGAATATGTACTTCGTACAATCACGAATAATTCATGATTGTAAGGCAAGTGCTCATGCCTGTCATAGAAGAATTTCAGCCCGGAAGTCTTATTGTCATGGTCATAAATAATACAGGACTTGAGTTGGCTCTGGACATAAACACACTTGTGGCGAATACGGTCATTATTGCGAGAAAAATATTTAGCCACTGTATGTTAACACCTGATGCCGCACTACACGCAATATTTCATGTACATGTATGTGAGACTCAATTGCATCCACAAGGCCGTAGATGCATGTAAGCACACAATGCTGTACAGTATAAGTACTAGTAGTAGTCGACATGTGGTGCCTTCCTGCTGCACATGCACATGCGGCAAGTTGGCAACGACACATGACCTATCTGCACCGCACAGCGTGAGCTTAGAAAGGAATATTGCACACAGAGTGATATTTGTGTTCCGATATCGTTAAGCCAGTATACATGTACTAGTATCCTTATACATGTACCTGGTCACTCGATAGGCGATGCCGACTGTACTAATCTTATCCATATTACCCGACAGGCTATAGCACACTGCGTCAGATCACTATGCAACAAAACAAGAGCTTTGCCCGGGGCGAATATACACTGAAGCAAAGTAGGTTTCAACGGAACAGCACTAGTCACGATGAGGGGAGTTACGAGGATGGTTAGGCCGTGACACATAGATGATGATTGTTAATGATTCATGCACGGTGGAAAATTACCACCAATGGCGATGATATTGCTTTCACAACAATGACATCAGTAGGAGCAGTGACACAACCTTACTGCTCCAAGTAGGATTTACAAGCGAGTGAAGGGAGAGCAGACTGGTCTAATAGCAGACCGGGTCTAAGCAAGGAAGTAATCGGCATCAGAGGTGAGCTGGCACATCAGAAAACAGATGATGATCACCAAACACAGAGACGTTGGCTATGTGTATGTTTGTGTCACTGTGTGTGCATGTGTGTGTGTGTGCATGTGTGTTTGTGTGTATGCGCGCACATCTGTGTGTGAGAGAGAGGCAGACAGACAGATAGCATATGGTGGGAGGGATCAAGGTCTGACCTCAGAGTTAAATGCTGACGGTGTGGAATAGCAACAGTGCGAAATCAGGCAGGGTGGTTAATGGCCCACACTGGAGCCGAGTAGGAGCGCCAGTGGTTGAGGGCTAGCACAGGAGTAGCAGCAGCTCCAGCCTAGGAAGATCAGCTTCTGGATAAAAATCTCCCGGACACAGTAGGTACCAAGCTTCACTAGCAGATTGCCGGCAGGGGTGCACGGCGAGCACCCGTACATCCCTCAAGCCACCAGAGCCGCAGTACTTGGAGACGATCCAGGTGCTTACCCGCCAACAATGCTGAGAAGGCACTGGAGCCATACAGGAACTTATGATCGAGCATGACCACAGACTTGAAATACAGGGTCCGGCGTTGAATACTGAGACAGCGACGTCTCCTCCACAGAACACCACTCAGCCCCACCATTGCATTATTTTCGCTTTTTCATGATTTTTACAATTGTGTTAGAGCACACAGCACTCGATGCAACATTTACCAGTGACTAAATAACTCCGCGTCTCCGACCATAACTGCAGCGTTCCCGTGAGCCTGTTGGATTTCCGTCAGCCTGTTGAGATTATCTTCATCTCGTCACATGTGAGCCTGTGTGTTTCATCCGTATCGTGGCACAATTACACAGACACGATTTCCAACTCAGGCCGGTTCCGTTGCTCGAAGGGTTGGCGGTAAGAATTGCTACGCCGTCTGTGGCTGCATGGGAATTTGGCGAGTCGTCGTCTTTCTCCATAAATCCTGATCGTCACGCGAACAACAGCCACTATTGCCTAAAAACTACGACACAACAGTATCAAGCTCGCCCCAGCAGAAGGACACGAATGACGAGCGCTAAGACGGAGAAAGAGAGACAGGGTTAGCGAGAGCTGACTAGTGCAGGTACGCTGTCATCTCCTGAGGTGGTGGGCGAAGCAGCGAAGTGAAACGAAGGAAGATAGAACTTATTAGAAGGCATACGGAGGCACCAAAACCTATTGCCTGTCACATACTAAGTGCCATTTAGGGTTGACAGCTGTCAGCTGACAGCCTCAAAAATTTGAAAATCTGCTCAAAAAACTCTCGATCAGAACTCTGCGCACTCTCAAATGGAGCGCACAGTAAAAAACTCGGCGACGAAGAACGCTTCGTATCGACGCCCTGGACTGAATTCGGCACGTCCAACAAACGGAATAGTGTTCTCTGATATATTCTCTACGTGCTGGGTATGGTCGCGTTTAGTTGGAAGCTCAGTGCATCACCACTTTCGATTTTGAGACTTGGCCGATGGACTATAGCTGCTAGCTATGCTACTGCTAGCGCTAGTGAATTATTGTACTGCACTATAGCATGCCATGGTAGTGTAGACGGCTAGCTCTGCATGAGCTGAGCACGAAGCCAGTGAGGGCAGCTAGGGAGAGGGCTGGATGTAGGGACGGTAGACAGGGAGCTCCGGAGAGGGAGGGAGAGAGGGAGGGGAGAGGGAGGGAGAGAGGGAGGGGAGAGGGAGGGAGAGAGGGAGGGAGAGAGAGAGGGCAAGATCACTATTTCAAGTATTTGCATATAGAGCAGAGCGAGGCTCGAGGGCTGAGGTTCTAGAGGGAGTCCGTTGCCCAGGCCCAGCGGCTGTGGCGAAGGTGCTTGTTGACTTTCTCCTTGAACTTTTGGGCAGCTTTGCGCTGGGGAGGAGTCGAGAGAAGCCGTTGTGGCAACTGGTTCCATTCTTCGATGGTTGCATAGGGGAAGGAGCGGCGAAGGATGTTGGGGGAGCTAGCTGGAAGCAGTCACGTACGCCGGGCGCTGTGCAGGCCTACACTTGTGAACACTGGGCTGTCGGCCCAGGAACTAACTTGGTGCAAGGATGTGCAATCATTGATTTACATGTACATGCTTGTTCTGTTCACACTTTTCTTTCTTACTTTCTTTCCTTGTGTTTCTTATCCAACATTTCACACTCATTTTGCGCACTTCCTCTCTTCTCAACTATGTTACCAGTGCATACACAACTTACGATAGGAGATCCCCCAGATAGGCATTAGCCTTTGGGTATCCTGAAATAAAGATTATTATAATATTTATCATTAGGTGCAAACTTGACACACACAATCGGATTTCATGGAGCAGCCCTGTGCATGATGTACCGGTACTTACAAACTACTGTACAGTTCGCCTTCTCTTCTCTAGTCTCTTGGTCACGGTTTCTTTACTCTTTGCCGACTTTACCAACTTACTTGTTTGAAACTGGCACGCCTGAATGGATTGTATACATGTACCAGCAAATTTGTGTGATGGTGAAGTGAACAAGATGTAAAAATAGCTGTCAGACACCAGTTTCAGGGGGCTGAAGGAGATAAACGAAAAGTTTGCCTGGTCGGAGGAAGTACACGTTTTTAGAAGCGAAGAGCGAGGTCTGTCTCGTTGTCCAGGAGACGACCAATCAGTGACGTTCCCGCCAAGGGCCTTATATCGATCAATCGTAATTTTACTACTCTTTGATGACGTATCGACTCGATCGAGGGCCTTGAGCCCGCTGAGTATTCTAAACAGGTGTATACAACTTCATGTACGCATACGGTGCAGCTAATGAACTCTAGTCTAGCTCTGCATACAATGATTATGTACGGTGTACTACTAAAAGCTACGCATTTCAGAAGTGCCTACGGTTTTTGCCTCCCGTACTCCTTCATCTGTACGACTTTCCTTTGTATCAAAGTCAATAGGTATCGAAAAGAGCCTGCCGTCTTCGGAAGCCCCTAAATAGTTCCACAAGCTATGGAGCTCGCAATAAGAGCCCAGCATTTCCGATTTGCTCAGTCTATTCTCCTTCTAATACCGTAGTCCTGAGAAAATATTGGGCGGCTCTTGAAGCCCCTATTAAATACATGTAGCTCCCGGTGACCGTTGAAGCTATGAATAAAAATGAAGCTCGCAATAAGAGCCCAGCATTTCATTTGCTTCTATTCTCCT